CTTTAAGGGTTCATCAAAGCACTTTTCAGTGTTCTTCAGACTGAACTGTTTGCAGATAAAACATGATGCCCTAAGGCAGGTGCTTGGTTCGCTGTCCATGGTGCTGAAAATAAACAGGATGGCCCCGGATCACTCAGCAGATCACCTCTGTTCAAGCTTTTTGAAAACAGTTTATTCTGACTAACATGCAGTCTTTCACTTTGTTCATACTAAAACCTTGCTGTTGGGTCATAGATAGAGTCAATTTGACCAAAGTTGGTTCAGAGAGGAGCTGTCATTCTTCATAATCCTCCACTTTAAACCAGAGCTTTAAACCAGAGGCTGACCACAGACCTGACTGTTCCTCTGCTTTAAGATGTAATTTTAAGGCAGTAAAAACAACTTAAAAAGAGATATTTAATAGGGGTATAACTACCGGTTCACATTAACATATCATTAATGATTCTATGATATCAAGACAAAATACAAACAATCTATTTTCATCGTGCCCAATGTGAATCATTATCATATGATATTGCATTATGTTGATCGCAGACTTGTGATTTCAACTGAAAACATACGATAGACTTTGTGATATGCAGAAACATCATATTATCATCCAAACAAACTGATTTTACATTGCATCATGATAAGGCTGGTGGTTTATACACCTCTAACTTTTAACCTGGTAGGCTTTGGTAATAACTTTGATTTGTCCTGCATGGTGAGTATAGGACTATGTTTAGCTAACCACTATTAGCATTGTCTAGCTATGCCAACCCTAGTTATCCTCCACTTGTTCCAAAGTTGAGTTGTGGGACCTGCAGTTTATAGTTCCAGCTTATCTGAGAGAACCCCAAGGTCTAGCATGTCTTGAGTTTTCCCTGGGGCCTCCTCCCAATTGGGCATGCCCTGAAAACCTCCAGGCGGGGGTTTAGGAGACATTCTTAGCTTATTCTGTTCCTCTCGGTTCAGTACTTTTCCTCAGTCCTGCCATGCCTGCTCCACACCTGTTCTCTGTCACATTAAGCTCACCTGTCTCCCATCTCCCTGTCAACCCCAGTCCATTTTTTTTCACTTCTATCTCCATTTCACTTGTTACTTTGCCATCGTGTGTGTTTACGCCATGTCTGGTTCACCTCCAAGTTTCTTCCACTTTGTTGGTTTTGTCTGCAGTTTTTAATGTGTCTGATTAGTGTGGACTTGTTGATGCAGATCACAGAATCAGATTATGTTCCTTTTGTTGAGGAAAAGCGTAAATGTCAGTCTTAAAATAGTTTCTTTATTAGAACAAAGTCCCACGCGTGCACCGACGACGAGTAGGAGAAGTTTTTAGTCCTTGTCTTCCCCATTTTTAAATTTTATTATTATTATTATTATTATTATTATTATTATTTTTACATACCATAAGAACCCTTCGTTCATTTGTAGACAGAAGTGTCACTTTGTTGCCTTTCAGTCTGGCGAGGTGAGAACCCCGAAGGAGCCATCCTACTCCTCCTCCTCCTCCTCCTCCTCCTCATCTTCCTCTCTCCCTCCTCCTCCTGGTCGAGCTGCCGCAGCAGCAGCAGCCGCAGTAATAACCGCACCTGTCGTGTCGCCCATACAGACTGTGGCGGAGAACCGTCTGAGGAGTAAAAAAAGAACAAGAAGGGGAAAACACCGTTCTGGGGATGTGAAAAATACCGATGGCTGCGGGAGACCTCTGCGGCTGAAAATTACGCATCGGTGAGTTCCTGTGACTTGTTTATTCAGCGGCGCGCTTTCTCTCACGTCTTGTGCTGCAAGCTCGCGAACTCAAAGGGCAATTGTTTATCATTTCTATACGTTGTTCGAGGCGTTGTGTTTTTCACTCAGAAGCGCCAGAAAGCACGTTTGATCTGAGTGAGTCTGCGGTAAATAAGCGGGTTTTTCTTCACATGTGTTCCAAGCGAAGGTCACCATGTGTCTGCTGTGTTTTTTTTTTTTTTTAAAGAATCTCCAGAGTGAATGAAAAAAAGAGATGAAAACCTATCGATTCTACAGATGGGAACAATTAGTCCGGCATCGGTTGTGATTTTGTTCTGCCCTCTGATATGACACGAATCACCAGGCGCAGTCATTTCAGCGCCAAGAAAAGACATGTTTGTTTGGAGCTGCACGACCTCTGCCAACATCTGGATGAACACAGAGGAGCCTGGTTCTTCATGTGGCTGCGTTACTGCACATTTCCAGACACGCAGTTCGTGCTCGCAGCTCAGCATCTGATTGGATGTGCTCGCATGGATCGATTCAAGCAGAAAAGGAAAGCTGGATGCAGTCAAAGAAGAAGCTTATAAGTGGGGCAGATCCTTAAAATGAGCCTTTTTTGTGCGCATCATTATGCAGGCTGCACTTCCTTGCCTTGTGTTTCTTCTCTGCATCTGCATCTGCACCTGCACACACACACACACCTACACACAGATATAGAGAGGTTGTCATTTCTTTAGACTATTAAGAAGAGCCCTAATGAAAGATTAATACTGTTTTTAGTCAAGATTGTGTTCATTTTTGGTCTCATGGGGCTCTTCTCTGCAGTGGATCACACTGAATTTTCCTATGAAGCCTCACCATTTTAAAGTAGTGACTCACACACATCCAGAACTGAGAAAAGCAGATTCCATCTTTTTGGTTTTTCTGTCATCAGCCTGGTTTTGATGTTGAGCCCTTTTCCCCATGATTGAACTGCTTGCACTTCCATTATATTATTATGATTACGTTTTAAAGAAACTCATTGTTTCACAACCTTTTCTGCAGCTCCCTGCATTTTTTTAGTTATTGTTACTTATTGAGCTAATGAACTACATGTGAGCAGGCATGCCTGTGTTTTTGTGTCAAAATGTCGATCCTCTCGGTTTGATTTCAGCCCCGCTCCTCACATCTTCCTCTAAATCACTCGATTTTCTGTCTGAGCACGGTTCCTCCTGTTACTCCACGAAGCATCCGAGGGATGCTTCAGAGGTAATTGGATTCGGTTCTGGTCGGAAAGGACACAGAGCTGAATTTGTCCGTGCGTGCATGAATTATCTTTGAGATGTGTGTGTGTGTGTGTGTGTGTGTGTGTGTGTGTGTGTGTGTGTGTGTGTGTG